GTGCCCTGCAGCTGGGGTTGACTGTTGGTCCCCACAGCTCTGGCCCAGCACAATCTGTTAGCATCCTGCTCCTCTCACTCTTGGACTGGTTTGTGTCTCCCATGGCATTCCTGTTGACTTAGCTGGGTGCTGATGGCCCGTCTGTCTAGCCCAGGGGTGGCCAGGTACAGACTCAAGGAGGGTGGCTTTCTTCATTCTGTTCTACGGCAGTGAGGTGTAGGAGAATTAGCGTCTCCTTCGATGTCTCTGTGTCTGGGTAGGGCAGTCATCTCCTGCTGAGAGGACATGGTGGGCACCTGGCTATGCCCCCCAGAGCCTCACTTCTGCCTGAAACAGCCCGACTAGACTGATACCTACATGCACACAATGGGGATTCATACCAGAGCAGAGGAAAGTGGATCCTCACGAGAACATACAACAAGAGCTAGCTTAGCAACGGTGAACAGATGATGATTAGATATGATTTGATTGGTCAGAGGAAAAATTATCATCTTTTCTCCAGGATACTGAGACTTGTTCTACAGCAACATCCTTGCTTCCAGTGGTCCTGGCCAGCCTTCCCCATCCCCATCTTGCCGGGCCACAGAAGTGACCACTTTGCCTTGTAGTCTGTGTGCATTCTTTAACATTTCTGTTGGGTCCCAACTTCTTGGCCTTGCCTTCCTGTTTTCTTGCCCAAAGCTCTCCAAATCTATGCCTTCTACCTGGTCAAAGCTGCTTTTTTCACATCTTTTTCCATTAATTGGTTGGCCCAAACTTGTATAGCTAAGAAATGGCCAAGCTGACATATGAACTTAAGATTGCCTCGTCAAGGGATGAACTGGGCCTTGATAACCTGTGCTTCCTGGAAGTACCCCTTCTGGGGCCCTGGCCTGTTGCAGGAACCCAGTAGGTACGTGTAATTGAAGTAAAGTGAGGAGCCTTCCAGACCCCAGCCCCTCATGTGAAGCATGTCCTGAGATTTGCCCCTATTCGCAACCATGTGATTCCTCCTAGACAAAGGGCATCAGCTTCTAGAAGCCCCAGCATTCAGAAATTTGCTCAGAAAGGCTGTGTACATCTTCTCCTTTCCCTTTAGAGTATTATGGGCTCAGATGGGCACATCCTCAACATTCCAGGCTACGCCAGTGGGTTCCTTCCAGCATCAAACTGGAAGAAACTGGAGTCGAGATCGACCCATGAACGGTGAGGTCATGGTACTCCCACACCAAAGCATCTTTCTAAGGAAAGCTGAGCTGGTCTTGAGCCTGAGGCTGGAACTGGTCTCAGGAGGAAGCAGTATGGCCAGACACCACGCCTCTCTGACTGGGATATGATTCCCTAGGGTCTATCAGAGGGAGTTGAGGGGACCAAAATCACTGGAAGGACCAGGGCACATCATTTAAAAAATAGTCCTATTAAAACAAATCAGGTAAATTAGAGTGGCATGCAAGTCTTGCATGAATTGTCAAAGTAGAACAAGAAACTGTGAAGGAATTTTAAGCTTGTCTGCTTTGGGCTTTACGAGACCCACTGGGTTTCTGTTCCACTCTACTCTTTGCCATTACAGGTAGACCCGTGGGAAAATCTGAGACACGATGGTGGAAAAATATGGTTTTTGAGGTCAGAAGGAATTGAATTCCTGGCTCCCCTGGTCACTTAACTGGGGAACTGTGGGCAATGGGTTTCTCCTCTCTGAGCCTCCGTTTCCTCATCTGTAAAATGGGGACAATCACAAACACTTCGTAGGGATGCAGGAAGAATTGAGTGAGCTCGCTGGTTAGTGTCCTCAACACACTCAACTCCCCTGGTTCCGTGGGAAGGCTGCCATTTGGCAGGCCGTTGCTCAGGCCACATGCAAAGGGAGGGCCAGTGGGAAAAGCCACTGGATCCCTCTGTCCCCACGAAGTGGGGTGTGCTGTGGTCATCCAGAGGCCCGGATGGTTGTGAAAGGGCACACATGGAGGCACAGCCAAGATTCTTCCTGAAGCCATCTAGGCCACAAACAAATGCAGACTGGCGAGGGTCCCTCACCTCTCTGAACAGGGTCCATAACTGGGTGACCAGGAGGCTCTGTCCTAAGTGGGGATGCGCTCTTGGGCTCCCTGGAGACGAGAGGCTGGCTCCCGTTCTAGAAGCTCAGAGAGCACGGATACGATTTTCCTCGCCTTCTGAAAGACAGCCCACCCTCTCAGTGGACTGGGGTGGGAAGATAGCTTGGGGGGAGGTGGTGTTTGCTCTTGTTTCCCAAGGACTGGATCAAGTCCAAATTCCAGGGCACCATTGCCCCATCTCATCCAGGCCCTGCCACATGCATGCCATGTGGAATCTTTGGGAAGATATCCCCGTCATGAGCCTTAGTTTCATCCCTTGTAAAGTGGCCCAAGACCCATTTGCCACCCTGCCTGCTTTGGAGAGTGGCTGGGTGTTGAGGAAATGGGGGTTTCAGCTGGAGGATCCATCGCCGGCCATGGTTGGGTCAGGTACCTCACCATGGCCTGAGTTTTTATGATTTCCCTTCTCCCTGAAGTCCCCATTTTAGATTCTCACCATTTGAAATGATAGAAGCCAGTGTCATTTCCATGTGCCAGCTCTGTCACCCCTTCTGGAGCAGAATGAATCTGAGGCTTTGTGTTGGCTAGCTCCCCTCCCCCATTCTGCATGGATGAGCCAGGATCTGAGAAAAGAGCAGATGACAGGCTGATTTGCTCTGCTACTGATTCCTTGCAGGCGGCACGAGGGCTGGCTGGAGCTGTGGACTGGAGCCGGGGGACCTGCTCAAGCCTACCAGGGAAGGGACCTAGCAAGGGAGAAGAGTGAGTTCCCGGCTGGGGGGTGTGTGGGGAGGTGGGCTCCTTTGCCTTCCTTCCCTTTGAGATGCTTCCTTTTGAACTTCCAAAGTGACAGCCCTTCCGTGATGAAGTCTGGTGTCCCTGGATTTCCAGACAGCTCAGGAGCCCAGGCCAAAGGCAACAGCTTCTGCAGGCTTCTTTCATGTCCCAGCCTCACGGGTCTGGAGGCCTGGACCGGCCACCCTGCTCCACGGTAGAGCAGAGACCCTGAGTGTCTCACAGAAGCTGGGTCTCATGACCCATTGCGTATTTTGTTCCAGCAACAAAATAATGAGCAGACAGACACATAGATGTGATATTGAAAAGCACGCACTTCAGGGAATGTCTTCACAGTGTCTGATGAAAGGAGGAGAGGCAGCCCCACTGGGCCCAGAGAGTGTCTCTCTAACACTGAGTCGAGCCCATCACTCAGGGGCTTGGCTGGCTCCCTGTGGCCCCCACAGCTGGTCTGTACTCCAGGTAGGCTCTCTTCTCCCGGACCCTGCTCATCTGCCACCCCTCCTGCGGTGCTGTGCTCGCTCTGGGCTCACGGCCCACCCTACTGCCTGCCCCCTGCCCCCAGCCCAAGGACACCTTTGTGCCACTGTACATCCTGATCCCTTGGACTGGTTTCCTTTCTTTCCTTCTCTTACCTGTTGAGACCCTGCCATCTCCCCTAGGAAGCCCAGGCAGACAGAGTCTTGCTCCCAGGTTCCTGTAATACTCGTGTGCTCTACCACCTTGGCACTGGGCGACAATCTCCCTAGTACATGGTAGGCTCTTATGTGCAAATACTGTGCCTTATTGAATTCTGTGCTCCTCATCCCCTCTCTGGGGCTAGACCAGCTTCCAAGCAGGGCTTCCTGGATCCCAGACCACCCTGAGGCAGTCAGATACTGTGCTTGAGCCCCTAGTAGAGACCAAGGGAGAGAGCGTGACCCTGGCCAGCAGACCTCACAGCCAGAGGGAACAGGCAGCTGCTTTCACTGGCGGAGAAATGAGAAGCGACTAGCTTTCCTGGGGAGCCGGGAAATACATCTGAAATTCTGGGCTTCCCAGAAGAACTCACATCAGAAAGAAAGAATTCAATTTCCACTGTGGACTTTTCTGCTTGGAAGTTTCTAGCCTTATTTTCCCCTCTGTAAAATAACTGCTTTGCTGAGAAAGATGAAGACAACGGTATGAAGAAGGCTTATCACCAATGTTTGCCTTTTGGGAACCCAGAATTTCATCACAGACGGAGATGCCTCAGTTTCCCCCATTGTGAAGTGGAGATGATGACAGGTTGGTAGTCCTCTCAAGGGGGTCTAGACCACGTGAAATGTCATATGGAATGTGCCAAGCCTACAGTAGGTGCTTAGCAGATGCTGGTTCCCCATCACTGACTCACCCATACTTTGGATAAGATCCTAGATCCGTGGTGTGATCTCCTTGGCCTGTTTTAAACCAAAGGACACCTGGGTCCACCGTGGCCTTTCTCACGATGGCAGCTAGGGAGTTCAAATTTGGAGATTCAAGATGATGCACAAATCTGGTATTCTATCTGTCCCAGAAACTGGAGAGACTGTCCTTAGATTAGCCTGTCTCCCTTGCTCAATGGCAGTGCTGTTCTGGGCTGGGAGTTGGGGGAGAGGGAATCTTTTAAGGACATTGCCAGGAAAGATGACAGGCCTGAGAGATTTGTCTTAGAGTTATACATCTGAACTTCCCTCCCCCTTTTATTTTGACATAACAGACTAAGATTTCACACCCCCAAAGAAAGTTTCTTTTCATACACGCTTTGGAAAATAATCAAATCACCCACCATCCAAAAGACACAAGGTCAGCCAGAGCCCTGCCCCAGAGAGATAGTTCCTTTTCACAATGAGGACACAGAAGAATAGCAAAATCCCATGCTCCCCCTTCCCACTGATTACAAAAAAGCAAAAAGAACCTTTACCAAAGGCTGTGGACACAGTGGGCTGGCCAGTGAATGACAGGTCAAGGCCTGGGCTAGCCGTGGGATACAGAATGGTATTGGGCCAAGCCCCATGCAGGTTAGGTGTGAGAATGGGGGCTTCCACTGTGGTCTCAGGAGCATCCCGAGTTTTACACTGATCCAGACTGGCAGGTGCCCAGTTCCAGAGATCCCTGAAGGACACTACAAGGGCAGCAGAGCAGGGGACCCCCCCACACCCCAAGAGCCCAGTCATTTCTGCGACAGCATGGAGGAGTAGAACACACAGCCCCTCTACCCCCAGGGACAAGGAGGGCAGGGAGGTGCTGCTGAGGCTCTCGCTCCCCAACACTCACATAGTTGGCTTGCCAGGAGATTCACAAACTTGAAAAGAGCAAAAGCAGGAGGTCTGGGAACGGGAAAATACGGGGCCTTGCCATGGGCGCACTTCTGCATGGGCTCGTGGCCTCAGCTGGTTGAGTGTGGAAGGGGAGCCTGGGCCTTTCAGAGCAGTACCTCCCACAGCTACAGGAGACCCCTCGGAAGGTGCAGAGCCCACCACGGGGCACAGGACAACCAGCATTCTCCTTGGAGTTGGGCAGGGTGCTGCGTCTTAGGCCCTGAGCCCAGTCACTGCCATTCACAGAAAAGGGGGCGTGGCTGCTGCAGCCTCTGGGCTCCGGCAGGCTCCCCATCCCATTGGGCTAAAAGGAGCTTAAATATTCCAGTGCTGCCTCGTATACAAATTTATACTGTTCCTGAGAGGGGGAGAGGCAGAGGGAGCAGAGGAGGAAAGAGAGAGAGATGAAAAGGAAAGGCATTTAGGTTAGAGACACAGATTTTGGAGAAAACTTTAGCTACAGCCCTATTAACAGTCATCGCAAAATTGTCCATGTAATTATCCCTATCTGAACCTCCCCAAGTTCTGCCTGGTGCCTTACACCCACGCCTTCCCAGATGCCCAGTGGGTCATTCCCTTCCTTGTCACCATTCTGGACTCAGGTGCCTCTCAGACCATAAGGTGCCTATGAAGGACCCAGGAGTCTTTCTAAAATGCAGACTCTGACTGAGTAAATCCGGACTGGGTTGGGATCCTGCATTTCTAACAAGAGCCTAGGTGAGGCTGACGCTGCCCGTCTGTGGGCCGGAGTTTGGGTAGGACCATGCTTCGAGTAGGTTAAGAATCTTAGGGCACAGCTCCTTGTGTATGGTCTGTGCAGCGGGCCTGAGGATCTGGGCTCCGCTGGCCCACACGCTCTCCATCCCTTTCTGCGCAGCGTTTGAGCTCCGTGCTTACACCTCTGTTCAAGTCACATACGCTAATTAGAACAGGATTGGACCGACTTGAAAACAGAATTCACACTCTCCTTAAGCTAGAATCCCTAATCCCCAGGATTAGTGTATCAGGATGTATACTTGGGCTGCCAGGCAGGCAGGAAGTAACAGTTTGCAGAGGCTGTGGCCCATCAGGACCCAGCAAGCAGCCAGCTGCTGGTTTGTATTATCTGAGGCTCTCAGAGAGCCACCCCCTTCTCCCCCACTGGGGGAGACGCCTCCTGGGACACTCACCAGGGTCTCCACCATGTTGGATTTGTTGTTCCGCAGTGTTTTTACGATGTGGAACACGTCGATGATGTTTTGCTGCTGGATCATCTCACATACGCTGCAGATGGCACAGAAGGTTCCACTGCGGCCGCCCCCATTTCTAGACACAGAGTGAAGACATAAGCAATGTAGCCCCCAGGCACCTCCTGATCCTGAAACCACATCAGGAGTAATGGGGAGTGGCTGGCCAGGTATGTGCAAAGTCAGGCTAGGGCAGAGAAGCCTTTGTGGTTGGATTCCTGCGGTGCCATGAACCTGCTTTGACTTTGGGCAAGTCTTTTCCTATTCCTATAATGGAGGGTTGGACTAGATGCTCTTTGAGAACTGGATTAGCCAGATCCTTGTCCAAAAGGAGGTTCTGGGTCTACCAGCACATCTAGTGATGAACGTGGAAGGTTCCAGGTGGTTTTCATCCTAGTTCTTTCCATTGGCTAAGGACAAAAACCTTTCCAGTGCTCCGTAATTCATGTTCATGGAAACACCCCTCCAACTCTTTACAGAAAGTCCCATAGGGAATCTGCCTGATTTCGGAACTCCTGGGCGTGTTGCCAACAGCAACTAATGATTTCATGTAATGGCCTGTGTCTAAAGAACATCTGGATGGAAACCAAGGTCCTCGGTTTCCCAGATGTTTTATCTACAGGACACACAACAAGCAGCTGTTTCAGGTACAGACAGCTGCCCTCTGTTCGCTGGCCAGCGCCCGCATTTTGGTGTCTGTTGTGTCTCTGGCCTCCAAGGACACCGCCGTCCTTGTTGATAGGAGGACATGCCTGTGCTTTCCTTTGGTTCAAACTGTGGGTCACCTTGGCGAGGGGGACCTGGATAAAAAGGTACTCCTTCCTAAAAGCAGGCTAAAAAACAATCACCTGCGGGAGGAGGACGGAACGCCCCACAGAAGGAGGGTTTAGTACTTTTTTGAAGCAAGAATGGCAGAGTCCAAGAGGAAGAGGTGAGTGGGCACAGGTGTCCCGGGGCCTGGTGGAGTGATGCCTGGGACGGGTGTGCCTGTGAGCCAAAGGGGAGGCCCCCTGAGTGTGTGGGAGCAACCTGGATGGGAGGCAGGGGCTCGGTGGCAGGGAACCCGTTGCCAGGGTCTGGGATGTGGGCAGAAACAGCTTGGTTTGGCTGACTGCGCCCATCCATGTGACACTGACACCTCACGGCATCTTTCTGGTGCCTGGTTTGGGATCTGCGTCTTTGGGGAAGAAAGGATTGTGATAGGTGGTGGCCTTAAGCTATGCGTGTGCATGTCTGTCTGGTTTTCCTGACACATGCTTGCACCCCTTGCTTGAAAGAAGGAACAGTAAGCTCATTTTGTAAAGACTGAACTCGATTCTCAGGTCAGGAAGGTGTGACCAGGGCCTCCACTGGCTCCAGAAATATTTATTCTGCAAAAGGAAGATCATCATGTGCTCTTCTTTGGGGAATAATTCGAGGATCTGGTCGGTGGAAGACACTTCACCCCAGCTTTCTTGTGATTAACAGGACGCATTGTGCCTCCTGTGGGGGACCGGGGCTTTCTCCCCTATCGGGAGTGCTGGGGAGCGGCCGGTCTACCCCCGATGTTTGCAAAAGGCCTCCCGGTTTTGCATTAATAACGTTCAATAACCTTAGTTCAAGGCAACAAATGAGCAACCCCAGTCCATGAAAGATCGTAATTCCTCGAATACACACCCCTTGACTTTTTTTTTTATAATTAAAAAAATTTTTTTTAATAAACATATAATGTATTATTAGCCCCAGGTTTACAGGTCTTTGAATCGCCAGGTTTACACACTTCACAGCACTCACCATAGCACATACCCTCCCCAATGTCCATAACCCAACCACCCTCTCCGTACCCCCCTCCCCCTGGGCAACCCTCAGTTTGTTTTGGGACATTAAGAGTCTCTTATGGTTTGTCTCCCTCCCTATCCCATCTTGTTTCATTTATTCTTTTCCTATTCCCTAACCCCCCCATGTTGCATCTCCACTTCCTCATATCAGGGAGATCATATGATAGTTGTCTTTCTCTGATTGACTTATTTCGCTCAGCATAATACCCTCTAGTTCCATCCATGTCATCGCAAATGGCAAGATTTCATTTCTTTTGATGGCTGCATAGTATTCCATTGTATATATATACCACATCTTCTTTATCCATTCATCTGTTGATGGACATCGAGGTTCTTTCCATAGTTTGGCTATTGTGGACATCGCTGCTATAAACATTCGGCTGCACATGCCCCTTCAGATCACTACATTTGTATCTTTAGGGTAAATACTCAGTAGTGCCATTGCTGGGCTGTAGTGTAGCTCTATTTTCAACTTTTTGAGGACTCTCCATGCTGTTTTCCAGGGTGGTTGCGCCAGCTTGCATTCCCACCAACAGTGTAGGAGGGTTCCCCTTTCTCTGCATCCTTGCCAGCATCTGTCATTTCCTGACTTGTCAGTTTTAGCCATTTTGACTGGACACACCCCTTGACTTTTAAGGAATATTGAGAGTGGTATAGCCAGGCATGCCTATGGCCAGTGGCATCCCCTAGGACAGACACCGGTCACCTCCCCCCCCGACCAGAGAGCCTTCCACAGTACTCACAGGCAGTGGACCACAGTGCGTCCCTCTCTCCCGTCGTACTGCTCCTGCCACTTCTCCAGCCGTCGGACCACTTTGAGCAGAGAGCGCTTGGAGGGGGGTGTGTCCCGGTAGGCTGGCCAGCCGATGTACTGCAGGTGCTGGACTATCCGGTACCCATCCTGAGGCTGAGAACAGAGAGGCCATCAGGGCTGTTCTTCCAGGGACACAAGCCCTTCATAGGCCCCGGGGCTGCGGCACCGGAGCGGGAGACAGACCGAATAGGGTCGATGCTATGTCGTCATGGGGACACACTCCTCTTTCTCCCTTTGTGCATATGGATTCTCCTGCCACGACGTCCCTGCACCTCCTTTCTCCCTGGAAAACTACTGGTTTCCAAAACCCAAATGTCCCTTTCTCTAGGAAGAGCCTTTCCTGACTCTACTGGGCAGAATTCTTCTCTCCCCGCCGAGGTTCATGTGCCAGAACATAGATCACCTTCCTGCTGGACAGGGAACTGAGGGCAGAGATGGAGTTCTGGGACCCTGGGACCTCCAGTAAATGGTAAAGACCGAAGCCATTCTTTAGCCATTTCACAGACTACTGATCTGCTCCCTCCCACCCAATACTCCTCCAGCTAGCTGGTAAAGTCCCCCCGGAAGCAACTAATCATCTTCCATCTTGGTGTTCTCAAGGTCTAGCCCAAAGCTTCCTGGATCCGATCAAAGACCCTGTCAACTCCTGCCAAAACAGGACAGCAGTGGGGAAGCACCGAATTCTGAGAAGATTTGATCACAAGGCAGCAAGTGTGTCAGGGAAGAGGCAGATGGCAGGCTGGAGGCCTCCCCACGGGTCTCTGAGTGTCAGAGCCACTGTTGGGTCTGAAGCCACAATCAGCAGAGGCATCGTTTCCCCGAGGATGGGATGATCCGGAGAGCACAGCACAGCCTCCTGGCTGGACCCTTACCCGGGCCATGTTACAGATGCGGAATATTCTGTGGATGATGTCCTCGTCGATGTCTGCAGACACGAACTCCACCTGGATGGGCCCATAGCACCCGGACGTCTTCTCAGGCCAGTACTGCATACAGAGCTGGGGCAGGAGAGAGGTCAGAGAGAGAGAGAGAGGCTGAGGGAGGCGTGGGCGCCATCGTGCTCATTTATCACCAGGCCCTTTCTTACTCTCTGCAGAACATGCTGGCTAGGAAGGAACAGTAGTGGGGGAGAAGTTGACCCCGCTCCCTTTGGGGAGCAGCCTCCCATGTCTGTTGTTGAAAAGTCAAAGCTCTAGACACAGAAACACTGCACTTATAAAATATTTGCTCTGCTGATTCCAAACCATTTGTTAGGGTTGCTGGGCCTCAGTTACCTCCTCTGTAAAGCAAGGGGGAATAATACCTCCCTCGAAATGCTGGCAGGATTGGAACAGGTACAGTCTCTATTTCAATGCGAAGCAAAGCAAACTTCCCCATTCCGGAAAAACCTTCCCAGTGTCCCTCTTATCATCAGATCCTCAGTAGCTTGAGAAACACCCAGGCCTGGGCATCAGACTGGTTTGGGTCCCTAGCCCGGCTCTGCTGCTCGCTTGCTGTGGCCCAGGCCTGTTTTCTCCCACAGAAGATCAGGTGACACGGTGCTGAGAGACCCTGCCCGTGATTTTTCCTATCTTTCTGGAACTGGATTTAGGACCTATCCCTGAGAGCAAAAGGCAATGGTTGCCCTCTGACCAAAGACAGTGGTTTTCAGCCAGAGGTGGTTTGGCCAGCCAGGGGACATTTGGCAACGTCGGGAGACATTTCTGAAAGTCACACCTGGGGGACGCTATGGGCCTCCAGCATGTAGAGGTCAGGATGCTAATAGCCATCCTACAGGGCATACTCCTCAGAGAGCAGTCCAGCCCCAAATACAGCAGAGACTGAGAAACCCTGCTTAAGATCCTAATTTGTTTCCCACATTTATACTGCCATCAAGGAGAGAGTAATTTATTCCCCTGTATATGTCAAGCCATTAGATGACTTCAGTTGGGGAAAGAATATTCAGGTAGGTGGCACAGGTTGTGGCTCATAGAGGGGCAAAGCACGCTTCTGCAAATCCCCCGTTTTGAAGGGGCATGGAGATGGACCCTGTGCAGGTCTATAGGCCCCAGAGTTGGGGCACGCAGGGGAGCTAAGACTGCAGCTGCGGGTTTGCTGGGGGACCGCCCTGGTGTGGACAAAGAGGCCATCTGTTTGACCATTGGGAAGTTACCGAAAAATGTACCTGAGACTCAGGAAGACCCATTAAGGCTCCTGAGAGCAGCCTGAGATCAAGTCTTTCATCAGCAGCCACAGTCTATACTGAGCTTGCAGACAAGGAGCTAGACAACAGGTGACCCATGGAAATGGTGGCCCCCTGTGGCTACCATGGATGCAGGATCTTCACAAAAATGATCCTTCTCCCTCTTGTTGAGAGAGCACAGCCAACTCTCCCTGGACAGTCACATGCAAAAACATCTTTAATTCCAGTCTTCCTCTAGAACCAGAACCAGAATGGAGGAGCAGTGGGAAGGAGGATATAAGAGAGAGAAAAGAACCCAAATTCCAGCTTGGGAATAACATGATGGCTTACAGGGTAAGCCTGACCCATTGGCTGATTTTGCAAATACAGTTTGACTGAAATACAACCACAGTTATTAATTTATGCATTGTCTGTGGTTGCTTTCAAACTACAACGGCAGATTTGAGTAACTGACAATACCCCGCATAACCCAAAGTTGCCCGCAAAACCGAAAATATTTTCTGTCTGGTCCTTTACAGAGAAAAGTTTGCCAGCCTTTGACCTACAGAGTTGTTCTAAGGATAAAGGACATGATACATGTGAAGAAACCCTTTGCCCAGTGCCAGGCACAGAATAAGGATCCGTTGAATTCCAGTAACTCACATTATTCTGGAACCTATCAGTGTCCAGCACACATGACCGCCATGATGGTAACAGCTAACATATACATCAGAAGGATTCTTCTAATCATTCTTCTTAAATAGCAAAGATGTGCAAGGCTAGGTTTCCTAATGCAGGGGTGCCTTGCTTCCCCATGTCCATCATGGGTTAATTGAGCACACTGAGAAAGGAGCTGGGTCTATGTGTGGTGGGGGTGCTGGACAGTTATCGGCTGAGCTGTGCAACAATGACAAACCCACAATCTGAACTTCATTTCTCTTTGCCATTGGCTCTTCCGGCTTGCAACCTTCACAGTAATGAGGGACTGGTAGAGATTAGTTGGTGGTATGCCAAAGAAATCAGAATTAATCAGAACTGCCCATTAAAAAAATAATAGCCTTTATCACCTGCGTTGAATTGAGCTTTGCCAGAGGTTGGCTGTGATCCTGACATAAGGTACGTGGGTCACAGGCATCAGGGAAAAAGTCTATTACCCCCAATATTTTCAGTCCAGAGAGAAAGTGGAATGATTTGTCTCTTTTAATAAGATTTCCAGACCAATTTCTCAAGCTAATAGGTTCTACTATGCCTCAAACAAGACTCCTATATTTCCAGACACTTTTCTGCATTTGATTTTCCAGGTCACTCTCCCGTGATGTCCAGAGGGCTGGGGAAGGATGCAGGGTCCTTCTAATCCTAAATCAGAGTCATCCTCTCACTTGAATTCCCTGATTCATGAGACTGGAGCAGCAGCAGCAGCAGCAGCACAGTCACATCTAGCCCAGTGATATATGGGCAGATGGGCTGTTTGTGCCGCCAAGCATCATCAGGTCTCCCCACAGCCATGGATGTCCTACATAGTCCAGGTATGGGAAACAGGAGAAAGATGGGAGAAGCCAGTGTTCTGTTCCCAGTTATCCTTCAGGGCTCAGAGACGATTCTCACCAATAAGAAATATCCTCTGTGGTTTAGCTCAAGGCTGTCCTGGTGCCCAAGTATTGGGATAGTGTCTCGGTGGGTGCTGTGTCCGTAGAGTAGCTAAATGTTGTGGGGTTCCCACTTGAAGCACCCTGGGTTCAGATCCCAGCCCTGGTGCCTTTCAGCAGAGTGACTTGGCCAAATCTTTTTTTTTTAATTAAACTTTTAAATTATTTTATAAACATATAATGTATTATTAGCCCGAGGTTTACAGGTCTTTGAATCGCCAGGTTTACACACTTCACAGCACTCACCTTAACACATACCCTCCCCAATGTCCATAACCCCACCCTCTCCCTACCCCCCTACCCCCGGCCCACCTCAGTTTGTTTTGTGACATTAAGAGTCTCTTATGGTTTGTCTCCCTCCCGATCCCATCTTGTTTCATTTATTCTTTTCCTACCCCCAAACCCCCAACTTTGCATCTCCACTTCCTCATATCAGGGAGATCATATGATAATCATCTTTCCCCGATTGACTTATTTCGCTCAGCATAATAACCTCTAGTTCCATCCACGTCATCGCAAATAGACTTGGCCAAATCTTATAGCTTCTCTGGGTTATCAGTGGTTGGGAATCTTAATGTGTTACTTGATCTTTAGTGAGTACTAAATCAATGCAATTATTAGCAGTAATATTCAGTAAACTTATAATAACATGGTCAAGGCTCAATGCACATGGTGGTGTCTTGTGGAAAGCAGCGAGGAATTGAGCTTTGCTACCTAGGTGACACAGAAAGGAAGCAGAGGCCACATAGGTGAACTGAGGAGCTTGACTGTGAGCACAGAAGCACCAGTGATTTACAGAAATCTAGGGAAGGGAGGGTTATGGTTTCTTTTCTCTTTTTTTTTTTTTTGTTTTTTAAATTCCAGTTAGTTAACATAGTCTTATATTAGTCTCAGGTGTATAATATAATGATTCAGCACTTCCACACATCACCCAATGCTCATCACATGTGGCCTCCTTAATTCTTGCCCCCCATTTCAGCCATCCCTCTACCCCCATCCCTCTTTCCCCTTTCTCCATAGTTAAGAGTCTGTTTCTTGATTTGCCTCTCTCCTTTCCTTATTTTTTCCCTTTGCTTATTTTTCTCCTTAAATTCCACATATGAGTAAAATCATTTGGTATTTGTCTTTTTCTGACTATCTTATTCTACATAGCATAATACTCTCTAGCTCCATCCATGTCATTGTAAATGGCAAGGTTTAATTCTTTTTTTCATGGCCGAATAATATTCCATTGTATATCTATACCACATATTCTTCATCCATTCATCATTTGATGGACACTTGGGCTGCTTCCATTATCTTGGATATTGTAGATACTGCTGCTATAAACGTATGGGTGCATGTATCCTTTGGAATTACTGCTTTTGTATTCTTGGGTTAAGTACCCAGTAGTGTGATTGCTGGATTGTAGGGTTGTTCTATTTTTAACTTTCTGAGGAACTTCCATATGTTTTCCACAGTGGCTGCACCAGTTTGCCTTCCCTCCAACAGTGCAAGAGCGTTCCCCTTTCTCTATATCCTTGTCAACTCCCATTGTATCTTGTGTTCTTGGTTTTAGCCATTCTGACGGGTATGAGGTGATATCTCATGGCAGGTAGATTGATTCGCATTTCCTGGATGATGAGTGATGATGAGCATCTTTTCATGTGTCTTTTGGTTCATCCGTATGTCTTTGGAGAAATGTCTACTCATGTCTTCTGCCCATCTTTTAATTGGATTATTGTTTTTTTGTAGGGTTGGGTTTTATAAGTTCTTTATATATTTTGTATACTAAACCTTTATCGGACGAGTCATTTGCAAGTGTCTTGTCCCATTCCGTAGGCTGCCTTTCAGTTTTGTTGAATCTTTCCTGCACTGTGCAGAAGGTTTTTATTTTGACATAGTCCTAGTAATTTCTTTTTGCTTTTGTTTCCTTTGCCTTGGGAGATATATCCAGAAAGAAGTTGTTACAGCTGATGTCAAAGAGGTTACTGCCTATGTTCTTTCCTAGGATTTTTGTGGCTTCAGGTCTCACATTTAAGTCTTTCCTCAAACTTGAAGTTGATTTTGTCTATGGTGTAAGAAAGTGGTCTAATTCCATTGTTTTGCATGTGGATCTCCAATTTTCCCAGCACCATTTGTTGAAGAAAGTGTCTTCTTCGCCACTGGATATTCTTTCCTGCTTTGTTGAAGATTAATTGACCATATGTTG